TTCAGATTCGCCTTGAACTCACCATGTAGCCGGGTTGGCCTTGACCTCTCTGGGATCCTCCTGCCTCAGCCTCCTGAGTGCTGGGATTACAGGCCTGTGCCACTACACCCAGCCTTTCTCCACACCCTTAATAACACTGAGCATTATCTTACTTTTTGTTAATCTGATGTGTATCTCACAATATTAGCTTATATTTCTTTAATTATAAATGAAAGTATCTTTTCATATACTTAAGGCTTTTTCTTTTTCTGCAAGGTTCATATTCTTTGCATACTTTCATGACCTTTTTTTTTTTTTGTGCAGGGTCTCACTACACAGCCCAGACTCTTAGTGATCCTCCTGATTTCTGCCTCACTAGTGCTGGGATTACACGTGCCCGCCACCATGCCCGGACTCCATCACTGGCTAAGCACACCCGGGTGCGGGGCCCACGTGGCATGTGGGGCCAGGGATCAAACCCTGGTCCCTGTGCTTACCTAAGCAAGTGCTTAGTCCGCTAAGCTATACCGCCGGCCATTCATAATTTTTTTTTTTAACATTTATTTATTTTGTGTGTGTGTGTGTGTGTGTGTGTGTGGCCAGCTCAGCCCACCAGGGGGCGGGGCTGGCTGGCATGTGGTGCTGGGGGATTGAACCGCGGTCCCTGTGCTTTGCCAAGCTTGTTCCAAGTAGGTGCTTTAGACCACTGAGCCATCTCTCCAGCCCATTCATAATTTTTTTAAAGTGAAACTATTTTTTCAATTCTGTTCATGTTTCATGCTTTGTGTACCATTATTACTAAACAACCTTACTAAAAAATACTAGTTTACTACACAATAGATGCTCTTAACTGACACATCTCTTTCTTCCATTTCATATTTGGATTCTTCTATAGTTTCTATTATCTTCTTTAAAATGTATATTTAATGTCTCCCCTTTTTTTGAGAAAGGGTATCACTGTATAGTCCAGGCTGGCCTTGAACTCGTTTCTCCTGCCTCAGCCTCCCAAGTGAGAGGATTAGAGGTGTGCGCCACTATACCTTGCAAACTTTTTTCTTATTTCCAGTCATAGCTAATCAACTTGGTAACCTCACAAGAACCCTTGACATCTGAAAAAAGTAGCATTAGAGAAAAGTCACCGGAGACAAACAAGGGAGGTATCATCTTGGTTTAAGATTTTACCTGTTAACAATGTCAATCAGCAAAAACCAAGTTCTTTTCTGATAGAAAAGCATCTATTTAATAGAAAGGAAACAGAAAACATCTATTAAACAGAACCGACAGGAAAGCAGTTCTAAGCGCTTACTTATAGAATGGGGCTATTCTACTTGTGATAGCTCTTTTTCCGATGAGACTAATTCCTCTATTATTTCTTTTTTTTTCCCCTCTATTATTTCTATTGAAGATTTATCTGAAAGGATAAAGCCCCTAGAGGGGTTTGCCAGTATTTACTAGTGGTATGTATCAGTAAAGCTAATTTGAAATATAATTTTTTTGAGGGCATAAGTGTTCCTAAAAGCTTGGTTTTGAAGTCCAGCTGGTGTGATAGAAGGAACACGAGGAGTGAAGTCAAAGGCACGTTTACATTTAATGTCTGAGTTCTAGCCAAAATAGGGGCAAATACTCCACCATAAGCCACTAAGCTGGACACGTATATGAGGCGACCATTTAGAGAGTGGACAATAGCAAGTGTGTGACTGCTGCCTCAGAAGTCAGCCCCAGTCACCCAGGCTTGTCCGAGGAGGCCATCTCTGACCAGGCCACAGAGAGCTGGTGTCTGAGTAGACACAAAGTACTACTGAGGAAAAGGGGCAGAGTGTGAGGCTGCTGAGGTGGCTGAGACCTGCAGAGCAGGGCCGTAGCGAGGAGCCGGGCAGTGCTGGCCCCAGGTCCTGCGGGTGCTCTGTTTCACCTGAGGGGCAGGCCAACCACATGCAGAGAGCAATCACCAGCACTCAGCTGACATTGGTTTCTATGGGGCTGAGTACAAAGCAAATACAGCAGAGGTCCCAGTGCCCAGCAAGAGTTGCCCTTACCGGAGTGGAGAGATTGGCTTCACACCTCATAACATCCCTAGCATGAGCCTCACAGAAGGCTGTGACTTAGAATATAGAGGAATCCTAACAGAGCAAAAGGAGGCAGATATGATGTGACACAGAACCTGCCAAATTAGAAGGGCCTGGGAAACACAGAGGCGATCAAATCAAGCATACTATTTAGCAGCTTCCTCCAGATCCTTGCTAGTAAAGCATAACAATGCCTGGCTGTTTCACCGTAATCTGCTGGAGTCTGAGCTACCTGCTGAAACATGAAACAACATTCTTCTGAGGAAGACAAAAGAAACCTACAGTCTCTAAAATGTACTATCCATGAGTCTGGTACTCAATCAGACATTCATTATTCATAGAAATGAACAAGAAAATATAACCAGTAGTCATAAAAAAGGTAGTCAATAGAAACTGAATCCAAGAGGGCTCAGATGCTGAATTTAGCAGACAGACTTTTAAAACCAGCTAGTATAAATAGTTAAAAAAGATAAAAGAAAATATGTTAAGAGGAAAATAAATTAAAGGAAAATAAATTCTTTTTATTATTATTTTATTTCATTTTTTGTGGTACCGGGGATTGAACTCAGGGTCTCCGCTTGCCAGGCAAGTGCTTATTCTACTGAGCTATCTCCCCAGCCCAAGGAAAATAAATTCTTAATAAGGGGCTTGGGGCCAGGTATGGTGGTGCACAGTTGTAATCCCAGCACTTGGGAGGCTGAGGCAGAAGGATTGTTGTGAGTTTGAGACCAGCCTGGGCTACTAAGTGAGCTCAAGGCCAGCCTGAACTGCATAGTAAGACCCTGTCTCAAAAAGACAAAAAAAAAGGAAAGAAAGAAAGAAAAAAGAAAAAAGAATGGGAGCTACACGCATGACACATGGCAGAGTCCCGGACAATGAGCAATACCTTTAGCACTCTGCAAGAAACTTAATCAATGGAAATGCTACTTGGCTTGAGCACGACACACTGTAGACATGTACCAAACTATGTCATTGGACCCCCTAAGCAATGCACAATGGAAATAATATAATACAATTTTAAAAGCAATCTAATCTCAGTTATCACTTGTATCCTTTAGACAAGGCTACCTTATGGGTCCTTATGGATAAAACAGGAATAACACCTGCCATGCACTGTTGTGAACAAGCCTCAAATGAGATGAAACAGGTAAACACCCCCAGATTTGCACAACATTACTCAAATGGCTAAGCAGCATCGTTGTACACAAACCATGCAGGAAGTCTACTGATACACTAGAAAGAACAGAAAGCGCCATTACACGACATTAACCTGATCTTGAACTAGAAGCTACTGATGTCTAATTCAGCCTGTCAGCCAAAGATAAACCTGTCTTCTTCTAGGAGGAGCGTGGCAGTGTGTAAGAGGACAATTAAGCCAAAAAATTAACTACAATCCCACGCAACAATTAAAAACAGCTCTTTAGAATATAGCTGCATTATTTGAAAGGCTAAGTTTCCCTTAAGTATCAGATATATTTGCAAGGAAAATGCATTATTCATACCATCACTTTCAAATGTTTCTATAATTCAGAAGTGACTTTATAACTTAATAGTTTTAAATAATCTCCTTTCCTTAAAGTTATTCAAGATTAGGGTTTAAAAAGAGACCATTTGTTCACATTGCCATATGAGTACATCTTCTGTTGTCTCACTGGAGAAGTGTCATCCTACATGGACCTGGATGGATCCCACACCAAAAGTTTCTTACTGTGTAGTGACAGTAGTTATAACATTGTTGACCAGCAGTAATTTTGAAGAAAACCTTTGTCTCATTTAAGCAATACAGTAACTTGTTAAATTGACCATCAGAATCACCTGGAGAGCATCTGCAACCTATAGATGCCTAGGTTCCACTGCAATGTTAGATTTCTTTTTTCTTTTTTCTTTTTCTTTCTTTCTTTCTTTTT